GCGCATGAGAAAGCTTTTTCGACCGATTTCTCAAGTTCTCTTGAAACTTAATGTATATTCCCAGTACTGAGATGTATTTAATGTATTCATATTCATGCACTTTCAGGTTCAACTAGTGGAATTGGTCGTATGACCGCAATTCTCCTAGCGAAACAAGGTGCAAAAGTAACTATCACAGGATTACCGCACGAGACTGCTAATGCAGCTGTTCGTTTCATTTCCAATTACTTTATTGGTTCTTCCACAAGGGGACATTTCCTTGCACGAAACTGAATGAATTGAATAGTCATAGATTAATCGGAATGCTAAATATTTGATGTGATTAATTCATAAAGTTTTCAGTTCCTTTCACCAAAACATATCGAGAATTCAATTGTTACATTGGAATAGTTTTTTGGTGAAAATTTTGACACATTCAACCAGTCTAACAACAAAATTCTGGCATCGTTAATGAATGTTCAAAAATTGAAGAACGCAATGTTTTTCTTTTCCAAATTCAAGGAAATAAAAAAGGAATGTGTGAAAAGTGGAGTTAAAGCAAATGATATCATCGATGTTTTGGGTGATATTACGGATAGTGCCGTACAAGAGAAAGTTATTGATAGTACAATTGCAGCGTTCGGCAAACTCGACATTTTGGTGTGTTTTTATTTATTATTGAACGAAACGCAGTTTGGAAATTTTTTCGAGTAGACTTTCGGCACTCACAAGCATTACGAATATATGAAACGAGTTTTTGCGAATATTTTGAAATTTGTGATGTTGAATGGCGACGATCTATGATATGTCAAATGAATTGCGTAAAAGTGTTGAAANTGTTGACACTACGGATAATATTGAAAGTGAGTAAAAGATGAAAACTGCGATGAGAGTTAAAGCGTTTATAAGTAATGAAAACAATGAGGAAAAAAGCCGTACCGATGATGACTGTAATGGCAGTAATAAGTGTTAATGATACGAGCAATAATAACGATAAAGCCATCTCCCAATTCAGGTCAACAATCACGGAGGTGGAGGTCGTCAAAAGAACGACGATGGTACTTGGATGATGCAATGCTTCGATAGCATTATGAATCTTAACTGCAAAAGGTTACAACTCAAAACCATTCAGTATTTATATTTTAAATATTTCTTTCAGCATATTGCATCTCTGTATGAAGGCGATTCCGCATCTGAAGAAAACGCAAGGTGTCATCGTGAACGTCAGCAGTGTATCGGCTGTCACTGCAGTATGTCTTCTTCAATACCATTCACCATTTTTTTTTCGATTTCGGAAGTACGGCGTTTCAATCACACAAACTATCAGTGCATTACCTCATGAGTCTTCCATGTTTCCAGCTAAATATTTCGAAGAAGCAGATTGTAATGAATGATTTCGGATTTTATTTTCAATTTGAAACATTTCTTTAAAACAAAACACTACTTCATATTGTATTTCATACCAACTGCATTCTGCAGCCATTCATCTATAATTGCAGTCGAAGAACGTACCGTTCTATTCCATTTCGAAAGGCGCTCTTGACCACGTCACAAGACTACTCGCATTCGAGCTCGCACCGCACGGAGTTCGTGTCAACAGCGTGAAGTTGTCTCATTTACCGTTTTCTTTATCACCATTTATCCCATCATTATTTTTATTTAATATGAGAAATTATTTCATTTTTTCTATTAAAAACTTCCAAAATGACGCATTAATGAATAATTCGAATACCGAATTATTGCACATGATGGATATGTACCACTATAAATCATATAACCATTCAATGAAGCCACAAAATGATGATAAACCAGATGAACTCCAATACTTTTATCCACTATGAAGCAACGAAAGCATTCACGAATGGAATACAAAGTGATCCAATTTTGAGCGATACATATTCTTCTACATTTTCCTAATGATCAGGAACTAAGCATTGCTCTGAATTAGGAAAAATTGAGACGAAAATTTAAATTCCGTAGAAAATATTACTGAAATAGGTGATCTGGTTGAATCACTAAACTGTTTCTAATACGAGTCATATTTCAGTCCAGGAGCTGTCGACACTCACGTCCTTCAGAAAGTCGGACTCAGCCGTGAACAAGAAACGAAGGTAACAGAAATGATGAGACTTGCTTCAGCCGAACTTTATTCTGATCATTGAATATTACCACGAACACATACATCAGCAGTTGAATCGCCTTTATGTAACTTATTGAAAAACTTAATAGGGTCACAAAACCTGATGCTTTTTGATTCGTTTTAAGCTTATTGTCGGATTGTTTATCTATCTAAGATTGATTCCGAAGCTCATTGCTCGATCGGATACTTATTGTTTCTGATAGATCGATCATGATGGCAAGCAAACTTCTCAACTCGTCGCAGTTTAATGCTCATCAGTGAGGATTTCATAAGGAATATTTAGTAAATTGATTTGGTGAATACATTTTTTTGCTATGTAACAACTGAAAAGGCTGAGTGCATTTCGACTATCACATTCTCTTTTGGCAGTAGTTTTAACGCAAATAGAAAGATCAGCAATGCAGCTAAAGTTCAAAAGCACACAAATCTCTCTTTGATCCCATCAAAACTGACAATTTCTAAAGAATCGCTCATAGAACAATATGACTTCAGGTACTAGAATATACGGCGAAGACAGCCATCCCGATGGGACGTGCAGCGCAGCCTGAAGAAATAGCCGAGCCGATCTTATTTTTGGCAGATAAGAAGATGTCTAGTTATATCACTGGACAGAATCTGATCGTTGACGGTGGTGCCACTTTACAAGTGGCGATGGCATCGTTCGATGTAACTGATATGATGAAAAAATAAATTCATTCAGTCTGAATTGTTTTCGTTTTGCATTATGAAATATGATTCGCTACTTTAATGTCATCACACTCTATTGTGCCAAATAAGTTGATCACCGTCGGTTACACATCGAATAGTGAAATTGCTGATCGACTGATCATAATGACTTTCTGTTCGTGTAAAATTAATAACGTTTGAAGTTTATAAAATTGCTATCCTTTCGTTT